TGTGAGTTAATGGATGAGGATGTTAGGGGATCTATTGATTCTTTATAGATTCCTATCAAGACAATTGGAGGTGCTGTAGAGACTAGTGTCACCAAAGAAACAGAGATTAGCTGTTGTTGGTGTGGCAGAGTTAGTAAAAGAGTTGAAGCAAAGGAATAAGGGAAAGCTTGATAGAAGGAGTGGTGGTAAGGCAATTTTGACCTATGCTAGTAAATGTAAAGCTTGATAGAAGGAATGGTGGTAAGGCAATTTTGACATATGCTAGTAAATTTTAGTTTTTATGAAATTTGTTGTATGAAATGTGAGGGGTTTTAATTGTCCCTCTAAGAAAAAACAGGTTATTGGGAGGATTTGAAGTATGAAGGCTGATGTGGTTTGTTTATTAGAAACCAAAGTTAACCAGCATAATAAGCAGTAGATTTTGAGGATATGATTTGGTGGTCGGGATTGCTTTAATAATTATGTTGCTACTATTAATGGGAGGATATGGGTGTTATAGAGGTCTGGTGGATTGTTGGAAGTGTTATAGACTACATGGTAGAGTATTACATGTAAGTTTTAATGTAATGATAGAGATGGATCTTTTTACGTTTATTTATGGATATAATGATGGTATTGGGAGGCGAGAGTTATGGAGCCATTTGCAGGGGTTGAAAAGTTTCATTGGAGATGCTCCTTGTGGGGTAGTAGGAGATTTTAATATGATGTTGGAGTTGCAGGAAAGTTTTGATTTCTGTGGTAGAGTGGATTTGTCCCGTGATATGCAGGATTTTTAGACTTATGTGTATGATATGAGACTTGTTGATCATTCTTTTGTGGGGTCTTCATTCTCTTGGTCTAATCACAGCAGCATTTGCAGTTTCCTCAGGTGCTCATGTTGCGGCTTTGTAGTCGACAATGAAGGTGTAGAGTTGCAATTGATGCTAGGATCAATGTGAAGGTTTTGGTTCCCCTCTGGCTCGTCCAAGTCTTCTTTTGTCACAACAATATTAAAGAGTTCTTTAATACTCCTATATTCATCTAATTGTTCTTGTACTATTGCTTTAACAATGTCAACAGCATGACATTCGTCTTCTTCTTCACATTGAAGAGGGTCAATTATATTAAATATAATTTGTTGGTCATTGAGACGTAATGTGAGTTATCTCTTTTCAATATCAATCAATGTTCGTCTAGTAACAAGGAATGGTATTCCTAGTATTATAGGTACTTTTTTGTCGGTTTCACAGTCTAAGACAATGAATTCCACTGGATAGATAAATTTATCCACTTGTACTAGCACATTTTCAATCTTACCTTCGGGATGAAAAATGGATCAGTCAGTGAGTTGAGGTATAACTGTTGTGGGTTGTGCTTTACCAATCCCAAGTTTCTAAAAAATAGACAAGGACATTAAGTTAATATTTGAGCCTAAGTCATATACAACTCTACATATGTATTATTTTCCAATAGTATAAGGAATAGTAAAACTACCTGTATCCTTTAACTTTTGGGGCAATTTGCTCGTGAAAATGGCGCTACACTCTTTAGTGAGTGCAACGATCTCAAAATCACTAACTATACGTTTCTTGGAAAGAACTTTCTTAATAAATTTAATGTAGTTTGGTTTTTGCTCCAATGCTTCCAAAAATAGTATATTAACGTGCAATTGTCACAACACAACAATGAATTGTCTAAATTGTTGGTTCTCCTTGATTTTCTACAATTGTTTAGGAAATAGAGGTGGAGGTCTTTGATTTTGTTGATTTGGCATTGGTGGCAGCATTACATGAGGCAGTATTGTTGGTATTGATGATGGCATTATCCCATAATTACTAAATTTTCATGTCTCCCTTTGTAACACCCCCAACCCGTACCTGACCCGGATACGAATCCGAGGTGTCACATTGACTTTTCAAAATGCTTACTTTGACAAAATCTCATAAAATTTAAAACTTATATTAAAAGCACAGTACAATCATTTACATAGATGTTATCCCAAAATGATTACAAAATCGATCAGAGCATTTGTAATTCACAATTTGTTTACATGCCAACACACTTGATACAACAAAATACTTACTTTGCAAATTACTTTTGATCTGATATGCTAGTAGAGATATGATATCCTTGCAACTCCTAATTCTGATCTTCCCGTTTCTTGGTACCTATGTGTAAACCACTTACACGCTAAGTCACAAACTTGGTGAGGCATAATAAAACTTATAACAATGAATTCATGAAGAATGCACTACTAATATTTCATTATGACATTACAATTTGCATGTATCTACTAAACTATCATATATATGTTCATAACATACACAAATGAAACTTATCTTCTTATGAGAGTTTCAATTCAATTTATCTCTAGATGCTCATGTACATTATTGAGAATAGGAGGTATGTGAGTACACTGAGATTGTGCACACATGCTATCACCACAACTCAAATAAATTCCCATTATGATCACTTAAAATTTGTCTCGAATGACCACTTTGTCCCGAAGGACCACTTTGTCCCGAATGACCACTATATCCCGAATGACCACTTATAACCCTCAACTCTTGGCATGTCAATTATACCTATAGCCCTCATATCATATAACATGGGCTTAAATATGAATACATGTCACATTTTCAAATCACTTATATCATTCTTATATAAACACATCACATGCACATATATGATCCTTTATCTTATCATACTTAACTTAAAATTTTACTCTTATGGTTACATTAATCACATATTATACCATATTAAAGAGTGTATGAATTATGCATATACTCACTATAATCATAATATCTGTATGTACATGAATATGAAATCATGAACTCAACTATAGGAAATAAACTAATCACAAGTCTTATTTCCATACAACAATATCTATACTAACTATGGTATGCACTCACTTTAGCCTTACTTGATTGGAATCAATTCTAGAACTTTATCTATCTCTTGACCGTTCTAATTCTTTAATTGTTCTGGAACTTGCTTGGGCTCAATATCTACACGAATATAATCTAATGAATATCGGAATTTAAAATATTCGAAAAGGGTTTGTACTAACTTAAACTAACCAAAATACTGATATCAACTTCCCAACTTAAGTAGTATCGATACTACAAACACATTACTGATACTTCTATTATAGGGTACCGATACCCCCAAGGTATTGATACCGAAATTAGATTTGATGTTTTCCGGTATCGATACCCTTAACCTGGTATCGATACTACTATACTATGGTACCGATACCTACACATTGGTATCGATACCTCATGAATGCCTTTACCACATTCAAACTTATGGTATCGATACTGTTCAACCAGTATCGATACCCCTATACCAAATGTCCCTATTTTACTCTTGAAGTGTCGGTACTGGATGAAGCAGTACCGATACCCAAGCCTAGTTTTTTACATTTTAAGCCCGAAAATTTACTCATTTCAGCTCAAATACTTCATATCTTAATCCCTTTCCTATTCTTAACTAAAGTACACATACTTAAATCCATTTATACTCATCTAACACATCTTTACCTTCAAAATTCTATCATCTATATGGAAATCAAGAATCATACCAAATTTCCAATATTTTTTAATTCTAATTCTAACACTTCATACTTTTTAATTAGGTCTATGACAAGTCAATTCCAGTTTCAAACTTTATTTACTAACCTTCTTCCAAGATTTCATTTATTCCCCCTTTTCTTTAATCCATCCTAACTTCCTTATCTTTTGATTTTAAGATAACTTAAGCTTTCATTAAGCTTAAGTATCATCTAAAGAACATAAACCCAACTTAAATTCAACTAATAATCATTTAACAAGAAACTCACCTTGTAATTAGCTTAAACACCTGAAGAAGAAGAAGAGAGTTCTCTAGAAACTTTCTTTTTGCCTCCTCCCTTCCACATGGGTTAAATATAACCACTACCCAATTTAATTATTTTCTTTACCAAATGACCACTTTATCATTCTATTACTCATTTTCTTCAATTCAATCCTACACAATATTTCCCCTATAAGTTTCTAAACTTTTCAAATTATCTACTTTAGTCACCAAATTATGAAATTTTACAATTTAGTCACTAACCCGATATTGAGGATGTTACACCCTTGATGTAACATCAATAGTTGGTTCAAGGCTCACTTCCATGTCTTTGCCTTTATTTTGTTGTCCAAGCCCATCAACATCATTCTTCTTAGGCTCCTCAGTAGGCATTCCAATATGGAGACCACTTCTAGTTGTGATGGCTTTGTAATGTTCGTAGCAATGAGCTTTTCCTTGCTACTTTGGGTTCTCAGTATCCCTAGATAACACTCCTTGTAATCGATTACTTAAATCATTCACCATTTGGCTTGTCATATACTGTTTCATTAAAGCTTCAAGAGATGAAATATTAGTGGTTTGTGTTGAAGATTGTCCTTGATAATTCTACCTTTGTTGTGGCTATGTAACATGTTGTTGTGTCTGATGATGAGGCATCGATTGCTACTGATTGTAACGTTATAATTGATTACAATGCTACTATTGTGGATTTGCAACATTTTTGCTCCTTCAAGACAAACTGGGATTTTTACGGAAGTTGGCATTATAAGTGTTGTCGTAGGAATAATCATTCTTATTGTAGTTCCTCATGTAGTAAACGAATTAAGTATTTTGGGGGATTTCTTTAAAGCTATGATCATCTCCACAATAAACACATAAGATTAGAGATGTTGTATTCACCTCGTAGATACCCCATGACTTTTGTATCTTCTTCACCATATCTGTCAATGTTGTGATTTGAGGAGCCATTGTATTGAAGCATCATAATCCACTACTGCAACATTGCGTTTGCCAAGCATGTTCTTCGTGTTGGGAATTGATAATCATTGTTTGATATTGTTTCCAAAATGTCATAGGCTTCATTATATTTCTTGTCCAGCAACACTTTGTTTGTTGAAGCATCAACCACCACTTGAGTGTTCATGTTCCACCCGTTATAGAACATTTTTATATACGTCCAGTGTGGGAATCCATGCATTGGATATCTACACATCAAATCCTTAAAACTTCACAAGCTTCATACAAATTTTCATCCTCTAACTGTTTGAAGGAAGTGAGGTCATTCTGAAGCTTGACATTCATATTTGGTGGGTTGAAACGTAGCAAGAAATTATGCTTACATTCATATAAACATGTATTCATAGCATTTAATAAACTTTCAAAATATTATTTAATCAAAACATTGGAAATAAACTCATCGCAAGTCTTCTTTCCATAAAACAATATATATATATAATATGCACTCACCTTAGCCTCACTTAGTCAAAGCACAATCCTTATTACTCTTGGTCAATCTTATAACTTCGACTCGTCCGGAACTTGCCTTCGTTTGATATCTACACAATAATATGACCGAGATAAATATCGGAGTTCATATTACTATAATCAATCCTCAATAAATTAAGCTAAACGAAACACTTAGTTCACAATTTCAATCTGAATAGTATCAGTACCCTAGGCCCAATACCGATACTTCCTCACTATGGTATCGATACTATACTTCAGTATCGATACCCAATCTACATTTTAGAATTCGTCTCTAAAAATGGTACCGATACTTGTCCATTAGTATCGATACCCTTGGTATCGATGCTACTCCTTCGGTATCGATACTGTTCTACTGATTCATACAATTTCATCTTATAATATCGATATTGTTCTTCCAATATCGATACTCAAACCCATATTTCCCTATTTTTGTCTTGAAATATCGGTATTATTCATCCAATACATATACTCTTGCCCAGAAATTACTCATTTCAACTCTAAAATTTACCAAAACTTACCTAAACTCTATACTTTTAACTCCTTTCAGACCTTTAAACTCAACTATACTTATCAAAACCAACTTATATCACTTTAACACATCTAAACATCTAAAATCCCACTAAAACACTTGAAACTAAAAATCATAGCAATTCAGCAACATGTCCCAAATCCATATCCAACACCTTAAACCTCTTACTTTAACTTATGACAAGTCAAATATAACTTCCAAATTCAATTGCTAATCAATTTTTGATCAAGTCACTCAAAAACCCTTTTTACTAAATCACCCATAACTTAAGCATCTTTTAGTTTTTATATCTCCTTAAGCTTTCTCAAGCTTCCTTAATACCTCAAAAATCAAAATCAATAAAAAATTACAAGAAATCACTAACTGAAAGATTTTTTACCTTAGCTACGAAGTCACGGTGGAGAGGAGGAAGAAAATATGAAGAACGAGAATTCTAGATTTCCTTTCTTCTATTCCACGTGTATTTAATATTAATAAATTTTTAATTTATTTCCTTGCCTAAAGACCATTATGCCCTTCCATATTTCCATCTTTGTTAATCAATCCTACACCCGCAATTTACAATTAAATCCATGAACTTTTCAATTTATCTATTTAAATCACAAAGTTCTATATTCTTACACTTTAGTCACTAACCCGGTATTTGGGATGTTACATCATATACTTGTATTCTTCGTGTTCTTTACTTCTATAGTGGATTATTGTACATCTCGCCCTTAGAGATAGACAAGGCCGAACCACATTAAATCTTGTCTCCTGTGCATGTCTTATTTTATGTTGATATCGCTTTGATTATTTTTTCCGCTTACATATTATAACAGTTTTCAATTACGTCCTAGAATAAATTCCAAAAACAAGACTAGATTATGTATCATATAGACAAAGCTCAAAGCACGTGTTCAAAAATAATGAAATAATCATATGAGCATGCAAGAGGAAAGTTAAAATACAAGTATGGGTGATGCTGTTGAGATTAGACTATTGTATCTGTGACGGTGAACGAGGGAAAGGCAACCACGACCGGCTTTGATTAGTCGTAAATGTCAAAAACTTTGCTTTCGCGTTTATGTCTTCGCTTTTGTTCTCTCGAAAATGGATCGATCCAGTACTTGTCTTGTTGTACGGCTTGATTCCATCGCTCTTTAAAGACTTTAAGTTCCCATGTGGATTGCCTGCGAATCTGCAACAATATGTATTTCCCTGTTCAGAAATGGTTTAGATATTTCTTTGTGTACTCATTCATCCGAAGAAGCCGGGTAAAAACTCCCGCTATATGGCCATATTATCGAGTGCCGGATAACCATTAAACTATGGAGAATTATAATATGCATATGGCCATCAAGGGGTGTTGCCTAAAGACACTTATCAATTGCAAACTGAGCGGGTGTAAAAGCTAAGTTTTTGTTTGCCAAAGGAACTAAAAACAATATATCCATTATCACATTAATTGCTTATCTAATCAAGGGAATGTCTACTGATAAAGGATAGAGGTGAATTCAAGAATTATGGATCTCACCTCAGCTCGTGAATCGAAAGTTGAAGCCCGAGTCCTAACCTTACGTCTCTGCACACGAGCAGAAAAAACAATTAAGAAACTAAATTATAATATCTAGAGATGTTAAGAAATGACTCCTTTACTCCTTTAAAGGAGTTTATTCGCTCTGCTTGTTGATCATAACCATTAGCCTTGTGAAGAATATAAACAAATGTAAAGCACAGAAAATATAAGGCAAAGCAGAAACCTTCTTGGATTTCCTCAATGAGAGCTCTCCTGTCCCACCCAAAGTTTGTATGCCCTTGTGAACAACGTACTCACTATCAATCACCCCCACATTCTTCATGCGATCACCCTGAATAATAGAATAGGCATCCATAATAAACATAATGTTTTGTAGAAATATGCTGAAATATATGCCTAGAAGAATGAAAGGGATATGAACTATAAAGAATGAAATCTTACCTGTGCACAATACCCAAGTTTCATATCCATTCCCCATCCATGAACAAGATCGTTCTGAAAGAAAGAAAAAGGTCTTAGAGATCAACAGCAAAACAAAATGAAAAAGAGAAAATTGTGTAGTGATAAATGTGTATGCTACAAATTGATAGAAAAGGGAAGGATAGATCATATGGAAATGTGAGGCGGAGAAAGAAGCAGCTACCGTTAAAATTCTATGTAGACAAGGAAAACATGCATGGTTACCTGTATGAGATGCCATGCACAATACCAGGCAGCTCTGGAGAACACCGGAGCCATTCCCTCCACAAATCTACTAAGATAATATGGATGATTAAGATCAGCACGACTAACCAGATCATGACATTTTATTTTCTTAAAGCTTTTCATCGATCTGCTTATCGACAGTCTTAGCTATCGGATAGTCAGATTGATTTACCAGCTTTTCAACAGAGGATCTCTGATGGAGTATGAAAGATGTGAATGGGGGAAAAAACTCTTAGGATCATTTTTAGAAGTTATCAAGATAGGAAAGGAACTTTAGGTTGTTTTTTCAAACATTTTGAAAGATGAAATTATTGTCATTAAATTGCTTTCAAACATTATATCATGCTACCTAGCAATGAGATGATAAAATAACTCACCCAGAGCATGGTGGCCCCTCGCTTATATTTGAACACCTCGTTTTACCTCTGAGTTCATAGACTCTCCTGAGTTTTCCAAAAACGTTCATAAGTATTATACAAATAATGATCGGTAAGCTTTTTCCGAATTGCCATAGACCATCTCATTCACCTATGAAACTTCTTCATTCTGGCACGTATAGTAATTCTGTGGTGTATTTCCGTTGAGTTTGGGTCTAAAGCCGGCTGAGAAATCTCTAAGCCTTCCGACTTAACAATATCTAGGTACCTGAGAAAGAGGACTCCACCTATTTAGTCAAAATGTTTGGATTTTCCCCAAAAGCCTCACAAAGCAGAAATAGTAGTGTAACCAAGAGAAAGATTGAACTGAATGTCAAGAAAATTGGACAGAAGTAAATATTATTACTGAATAACTCATAAGATTATGTTAAGGCAAGAAAACATCAAGATATTGCAGGTGACTGAAATGTCATAAAAGCCATTTACCTTCTTGGATTGAAATGCTCCACCCCCAAATCTTCATCCCAAAGAAAAACGTAGTCATAAATTGACACAATATCCGGATGTAGAAAACGCTTCGCAAACCACCTGAAAGAGGGAAGAGATCACTAAGCTTATCAAGAAATTCAGTAGAAAGAGTATGGATACAACAAACCAATCAATAAGATTCATCTAAGCAGTCCAATTTGTTTATCCAACTCATCAACTCATTCCATTCCTTGAGTTCAAGTCATTCACTTGAACTAAAGGAGCAATTTGTATGCTATGCATACTTCACTCATTTCACTTGAATTTTATTTGGACTGCGGCACTGTGATAAACATATAGGAATTCACATTAGATTCCAAAAGCTAAATCCAAAGTTTATCCAACTCATCAACTCATTCCATCCAAAAAAAAAAAAAAGATTCATCTAAGCCATTGCTTCATGTTTTTCGAGCAGTCCAAAATCCATGAACCAATTTATATCAAACTCTTAGAGAAGCACATATAACCATTAGTTCATAATGTTACATCTGCACATGACAGCAGCAAAAAATGTATACACGACAATACAAATATAAGAATTGTAGAACTGATACAATGCCTTATTTGATACAGCAAGTCCTAATCCAGACTACAATTCAAAATGACTCAAGCCTCCTTAGAAACTGTTTTAGCAACAAACCTACAATAAGTTCAAACTCCAATTATATTATGAGCACACACACCCACCAACAAGTTCCACAAGACATAGGACAAAAGAAATCCTTCCAATAACAGTAGGTCTTACCACTTTGTTTGGTTATGAGCCACTATGTGAATGGTTTTGTCAGACCAATCAAGATCCCACCATCCATCCACTTTGCCATCGTAATGGAATAGAGTAATGGTAAAATTCGCTGCACGAAACTGAATTTAACAAAGTTAGGCAAACATTATGCAGTTAATCAATTTTGAAAGTCAACAGGACAATACACAATACCTTTCGCACAACACTGTCGACATTTTCTTTTTGTTTAATGCCAACTGGCATTGCCAGCAAGTTCTTATCTGTGGTAATATTAACCTGCAATTGGATAGCCATCGAATGACATGAAATATTGTAAACAAACTCATTTTTTGCAACAATAACAAAATTTTCAGAAGATAACAATCTTCATTACTGTATCCATTGAAAGAAAGAAAGAAAGGAAGAAAGAAAGAACGGGAAAAAACAAAAACAAAAAAGAAAGTGTCTATATTCATATCTTGGCATTAAGTTCACGCTAGCACACAAGAATATTTGAACCTCACCATTGACCGTGAACTCTTTGACCATTGAGGCTTTAGTTCCAAATCTGAACGAGGTTGCATAATGCCACGAGGCAAATCTCTTAATTTCACGGAAGGCAAATCATTATCCTAGCCACAAAAATGATAGGCACCTTGGATGAAAATTAAATCGATTGAAACAGTAAAAATGTGAGAATCTAATGAATTATGAATTACACTTTAACTTATACAAAAACGTAGTCCGAAGAAAAACCATGGCAAAAAAGTTACAATTTCTGCATACTTACCTCTACTGTTTCAAAAGGGTGCAATTTGGTTTCCATCTGAAAATAAGAGAAAGCATTTATAAAATATCAGAATATAGCTTTAGCAAGCTTCACAAGGTTAAATTTTTTTTCTTCTCCGAAGTCTGAATAACCAGACACCTTATTACAATAACAATGACAGCATGAATTTTGTGGGTTAACAGTAACAAGTAATTAAAAGAACCAAGATTTACCACTATAAAGGCCAAGAAAAGGAAATTGCCTTTATCTCCTTACAATAAATCAAAACCAGTGAAATCTAGAGAACAAGGAGAGTTTTTATACCTCTGTCTCGTAGTATTGATAATTTGTGGTTCTATATACAATGTACATCATAACTGTAAAAATAACTCCCATAAATGGAAGCTGCCTCATTTTAAATCCGACGTTTCCCTGCAACAATATCAGACATTTACAAGCTTTGAAAGATAAAATTCTACTAAAGTTTCAATGTTAGAAGCCCTTCAAACTTGAAAAGAAAGAGCATACCCCGTCAGATGAAGCATTTCTTCTCTTATCAGTCGAAATAACTGTCCTCATAGACAGACAAAGATCTATGTTACACTCATAGAAAACTGCAGGAAATTACATTGAAGTAAACAAAAAAAAACCTACATCAACAGCTTTTAAAAGTAAATGTTACAATTAAGATAGAATAAATCGAAACAGGAGAAACAAAGATACGGAATACGTGATGCCATTAAATCTTGAAATTTAAGAAAGTGTTTAAATGAGCTGAAGCAGGTGCATGCTGCATGTAATGGCAGAAATCTCAAAAGAAGAGAAAACAAAAGAGGCTTCACACTGCCGTTCTAAATTTGCTGAGATTAAATGGTGGTATTTTGAACAATAAGACAAATATAGAAATTTGCTGACAACAAGAGACAAAATCGAGATTTTGTTAGATCTAAGAATGTAATTATTACTATTTTATGCAACTGATTGGAAATTCAAAAAAAAAAAAAAAAAAAGAGAGAAGAAAAGAAAAGAAAATGAAAGAATAACCACTGTGAAGAGCATAAGATTCGGTTTTTAGATTGAAGTGGAAATAAGAAATCGAAAAGTAATGAAAGCTAACAACCTATGTAAGCTTGAACGCCCCAGATTTCTTCAATTCAAAGAAAATTTGACAAGGCTTGACCTTAAACTGAGAGACTATCCATTAGTATAATTATTAAAAAAAAAAAGAGAATGAATAAAAAAGAGAGTGAACATGTATAAGCATACACAAGACTCTCTTGAAAATCAGATCCTAATCGAACCACCATAGCCAGAAAATTTAAACTAAAAGAGAAACATAAAATGAAGGACCTTGAAGACCAACAGGAGGCGGAATTGATTGATCGGAGATGAATCTGGACAAAGGAGTGAAGCTTTTCTTTCCTTGGGGGAAATTTGGGTCGGCTGATTCAACAAAACCAAATTGAATGATTGAACCAGCAAAAACCAACAGAGAGAAAAGGTCTTTAAAAGAAAACCGAAACAAGAGGACGCAACGCCACGTTTTAAAAAGGCAGGTGATTTGAAGGAAAGATTTTGCTTTTATGCGTTTGCATGGGGAAGGGGGTTTTGGTCCTGTGTTTTTCTGAGTTGTGGAGCCCCTGATTCCCGACGTCTTCCCCTGCGACAGCTCCCGAATACTGAATGGATATATATATATATATATTCTCTCTTTAAATTACTGAATGAAACAAAACAACTGTTAAAGAGCGAAACTGTAAGCCAATGAAGCAAAATAACTTCAATCCAAGTCACTGTTCAATCTCGGACTCTCGGGGAGAAGCAGAGAGCAGAATGATTGACTGTTTGAATCAATATAACAAACCCCTTTTCTGCTACTTTGCTGGTATAATCACTTAATTAATTATATGTTTATTTTCCCTATGTCCTGTGGATAAACCAGCCATCGTGTTTTAGCGTTTTACCATGTGCTTGTAATGAGGCGCATTTACCTTTATATGTATTATGAGTGAGTGAAATTATAGCAGAAACACAATCTGAACTTTTACAAACAAAGAAATAGGCAAAAAAATATATACAAATCTGATTTCGACATAATGTTCGACCTAAGATGTAATTTCTTACATCCTTATTTTGAAATTTAAACAAAACAAAATTAGGAAGAATCACTTAACTTCCATGAAATTTACCTTAAAAAATGTGTTTGGTAATTGGTAGGGACAGAGACAAATAAAAAATAAGGTAAAAAGACATCAAAGGCACTCCAACTTTTAAAAAATATCAATGTGGCCCCTATCGTTTGTTTTGGACCAATGTAACCTTTCAACTCCGGAAAAAATACTCAATGCGACCCTTTAATCAACAGTTTCCATTTTCGGCCAACGAAACAATCGATGTGGCACGTGAAGCTTCCCAACTCAGTCTATTTAATGTTGACTGGGCGTTGCATATGTTTAAATGAGCTGAGGTGGAAAGTAAGTAATTAAAAAAAGAAAAAAAATTTACCTTGAAATCTAATTTAAAAACCTTAAATTTCTCTACTTTCCTTTCTACTCTACTTTCCCAAAATTCATCTCACCCTATCATGATTTTGAAGAGCAGCAATTCCTTTTGTCACCTCCATCCGTTAGGCATCATCATAAGATTTGTGTAAGTTTTTCGTCTTTAATCTATTGGACTTTCAATATAAAAACAATATTTCATCTCTAAATCTTTCATTTGCTCTCCTCTCCTCTCATCTTTTTTTATTTTATTTTCCTAAACTTTCCATATAATCAGTATACTCGAATGAAATTTCGAATGGAACTTTGCTTTGAATGAAATATTTAAAATATTTTCATTAGTATTATAAATCTTATGACTAATTCGACGAGCTCGTTAATTGAAAGCAGTCGTGGAAGCAATGTTCACTCGTCTTTCTCGTGGGAATATGATAGAATCATAGTGTATTGTAAATGTGGTTTGAAATGCCATATGTGGACAACTTGGAAAAGGAAAAATACAGGTAGAAAATATTTTAACTACCATAATTTCAAGAATTCAAATTGTAAGTTCTTCAAATGGTATGATGCATAAATGTCCAAAAAACAAACGAAGTTCTTAATTTACGAGTTGCGAAAAGAAAATAAGGAATTAAAAAAAAAGTGATGCAATGTAATGACCGTTTCTCAGTTCAAGAAATGAAGTTTTAGATGAATTCATTTCAAAACCAATTAATTTTTGAAGTAGAACATAGTCATAAATTTAGGAGAATGAGAAGTTTGTATCGTAATGGGATATTATTTTCTTGGATAATTTGTATAATAGTTGTATTGGTGTTTATGGTTTTAATGTTTAAGTATTTGGGTTTATAAGTTAATGTTTAAGCATTTGGGTTTATAAGTTAATGTTTAAGCTTTTAGGTTTACTGTTTTCTGTTTAATGGTTTTTGATTTGTTGAGTGATGTTTAATTTATTTATGGAATGGATTAATAATTATGGTTTATTATATTTACAGTTCACTATTGTTCTACTATGTTTAATTATTCTAATATAATTTGCAGTTAATTTCAAGGCGAAAGGGGAAAATGCTACAATTTCAATTACAAAAAAAATTTACCTTGCCAATATATATATATCAGGTAATAGTTCACAAAGACAAATCAGAGTCAATTCCAACAAACATTGTTTGGACTATATTGAAAACATTTTGATGCTTCAATATAACAAATTAAGTGTTAATGAATTTTAAGATTTTATATTTTAAATTATATATTCGATTAAATTATTCGAATATCAAAATATTACTCCAAGTTTTTCAAATGTCAATTTCAATCCTTACTTAAGTGTAAAATTGTGTTTCAATATTAAAATATTTTTGAAACAATTTTTACAAAGTATTTCGAGCCTTAATCGAGCTAAAAATAAGTTTTAAATAGGGAGGTACCGATACCCCTCATAGGGTGTACCGATACCCCTATGCCAAATTTGGCTCCGAGAAAAACAGAATGTCAAATGGGTATCGATACCCCTCATAGGGTACCGATACCCCTATGCCAATTTTGGCTTCGAGAAAAACAAAATGCCCAATAGGTACCGATACCCCCTTAGAGGTACTGATACCCCTAGTCATTTAACGGTCGAAATATTTGAATTTTACACTGCAGGTACCGATACCCATTGAAGGTGTACCGACACCCCACGCTCCTAGCAGCCTTTTTTAAGAGGGTTTTCACACTAAAACGGCTCTAACATCACCCAAATGATTCCCAATGGCTAGAATCAATCCAAGGTGTATATAAACAAGTTTTGAAGCCATTGATCAACAAGAATTGAGAGAGAATAAAAGAGAAAGCCTTAAACATCAAGTTTGAGCAATTCAAGCCTATTTTTCATTCAATATTCATTTTTCTTTCAAGAACACTATTTGTACTCAATTGTATTCATTCTTGAGTGTTATTTCTTTGTTCTAGAATTGTGCAAACATCTTGCCTTGTGAGGTTTTTTTGTAAGTTTGTAAAATTTGTAATCTTCTCTTTGGGAAAGATTGTTCTCAAGAATTTGGGGTATAATTCTTGAGGGAATTGTAAGGTTACTCTTTTTCCTCAAAAGAAAGAACAAATTAGTGAATTTGTTGGAAAATACTTAGTGTGGATAGCTAAGGTAGTGGACGTAGACTTTGGTTGAGAAATTCGAACCACTCTAAATCGTTGTGCAAATATTTTCTATTTTCTGCCAAAACTTTCACCAAAATTTTAATTGCCAATTCATCCCCCTCTTGGCTATTTCGTCAATCGATTAACTCAACAATTGGTATCAGAGACTCACTCATTTGAAGGTTTAACCACCTCTTGAGTCGATTCAGGAAGAGTTAAATCGATAAAGATGGCGTCCACTTATGATTAATTCTCCATGAAAGAATCCAGACCAATTGACATACCTCCTTACATCAATAGAATAAATTATCGTCATTTGAAGAGGTTCATGATGATATTTATCCAAGCACATGATATGGAAGCTTGGATGATAATCAAGAAAGGATATTCCTCTCCTACTAAGAAGGTAAAGAAGTGGAGTGATCAAGAACGGAAGAAAGCTCAACAAAACACAAATGCTATGCACATGTTATGTTGTGCAATTGATCTAGAAGTCTATAAAGGAGTTTCTTCTTGTTCAAACGCCAAGGAGAGAGCTATGGGATAAGCTTGAGGAAATCTATAGAGACGAGAAAGAAGAGAAAATAACAGTGATGTCTCTATCAGCTCTAGAAGAGCCCAAGGTATCTTCAAACTCAAATAAGTTAAATTTACGTTCTTTTAATGAGTTACAAGATGCCTATGATGAATTATTTTCGGAGTTTGAGACCATGAACTTCAAATGTAAGAAATTGATTTCTAAATTTATAGCTAAAAATGATCTTCTTTTGAAAGCTAAAACATAATTGGAAAATCAAAATGAAATGTTGAAAAAAGAGTTAGAGCTTTTAAAATGAAATCTGAAAACTTTGAAAAAGAAATTTTCAAATTAAACAAACTTCTTCTAGAAACTAAAATGGATTTTGAAAATTAAAATGAAATATTGAACAAGGATTTAGAGCTTTCAAAAATGAAATTTGAAAGTATTGAAAAAGAAAATTTCGATTTAAAAGTTAAGATTGAATGCTCAATAAAAGAAAAAGAAATCATTTTAAATAATTCATCTAGTTCAATAACGACAATATGTTCACATTGTCATTATCATGGTCATAAGGAACATACTTGTCCTTTAAAGAAAGGGAAACGATTTAAAATTAGACAAGTATGGGTTCCAAAAGGATCAAAAGGCATTGAAACTAACGTTCAAGGATCCAAAGAAATTTGGATACCGAAATATACTTAAATGTCTCTTGTAGGTGTGTGAGAGCAATTGTGATGAGAGTGATGATATTCAAGATGCTCTAGCCACACATGAAAAAGGAATGGATAACATCTAAACTTAATGTTATTATTTTATTTGGTTGCTCATTTAGTTTATGCATGCATGAGGTTTTAAATCTTAAATAATTATGTTTTATCTCATGTATGTTGAAAAATGCTTTATGATGACCAATCTAAAATTTTCAATAATTTCTCATAGCTCTAATTCATCATAATAATTTTTGGTCAAAATTTTTAAATGTGAATGATATCTCTCTAAGAATTGATATCAAAATTTTCAAATAATTTGGTTTTACAAATTTTTGACCTTATTTTTTATATTGATTATGCATAGAATTCAAAATTTTAATGATATCAACTTTTAATGCATAACATCTTTAAAACTTTATGCACATGCCCTTAATCTCGATAATCAAAATTGCATAATGTTTTATATGTGAATGGATTGAAGCATAATCCATTGAGTATTAGTCAATTATATGATAAAGGATACAATGTCTTATTTGAAACAAATGGTTGTAAAATTGTTGACATTGCATCTAATCAGATTATGCTTGTTGGTCATAGAATAGGAAACATTTACATGGTACATCTAGATTCAATAAATATGACTAATTTGTGCCTAGTTGCTAAGGATGAACATGATAGTTGGTTATGGCATAGGAAACTAGGACACACTAGCATGAGTGTTTTACAAAGACTAATTCAAGGAGATTTAGTAAGAGGTTTGCCAAAGCTAAAATTTGACAATGATAAAATTTGTGATGCATGTGCTAAAGG